GTAGAAACTGTTCGACATTCCCTTTCACACAAGCAATTCCAACATTGTGAAAAATGTTTGAACTTATATCGAACAACATGTATATGATATTGTTACAGCACCTTGGAGGACGGGTTCACGTCTCATCTTTCTCCAATGAGAGTCAAATAGCAGAACATATCAATTAAAATGGTTCTTTTAAATGCATTTTATTTGGCCTACCTTTTGATTACATAAATGCATGCAACTAAAAGAAATTAAAGAGATAAAAGGAGCTGCCATTGTTTGTTGCTCATAGAGAACTTGTGTAACATTTTCAGAACAGGGCTTTCGGGGAACTGCTTGCACATGCCATATTACATTTCATTTTCCCCTCAAGCCCGAAAGTGAATATGTATCAAGCAATTGTTCAATTAAACTGAACATGACTGATCAAGTAACCAGCTTTTATCATGAATTTAGTTGTAAGGGGGTCCTGCACCCAGAAATGCCATTTCAGCACCACAGACAGCGACTGGCAATGACTTTTCTTTTTGGGCCACCCAGATAAATCAAAACACAATTTCCAAAACACAAAGTGCTAGCCGTCCAGCTCTGACCGGCAGATGCCACTGTAATAGAAGTTGACAACAGTGATTACAAACAAAGCAAAGAGAAGGATAACATGGTTTGGGAAAACTTTTATGAAGTGCATTGTCTGAAAAACCAAAAGAACATTTAACAGATTTACTTGAATAACAGTCTAGAATAGCACCACAAAAAGGATGATCATAATATATTCTTAACCTAAATCTAGAACATACAATTATTAATAAAATACTGAGGTAACAACTTAAAATATATACATCATTGCAATACATAACCTCAAAAATAGTTAAGTTTTTTTGACTGTGACAGCACAAATAGAAGCCCTGCTCCAAGCATTCCAAGTCCAAGCACAGCAGCAAACCGCTTGCGGGCCTTTCCTCTCTGGCCATTATTGGAGACTGGTTGAAGAAGCTGAAAGTTGTATTCTGTGTGTTCCGTCTAAGGAGAAATTAAGGGTTAAAAGAGAATAAATTATTATTATTAGAGCACACTATCAGTGTATATTAGCACCGTATACTGTTTGCTTTTGGGATTTCATTGAGCACTTGGACCTGTGACGTCAAACTTAAAGAAATAGCTCATCCAAAAATCTAAATTTGCTGAAAATATACTCATTCTCAGGCCATTCAAGTTGTAGATGTAGTTTGTTTCTTCATCAGAAAAGATTTGGAGAAATTCCGCATTACATCGCTTGCTCTCCAATGGATCCTCTGCAGTGAATGGGTGCCGTCAGAATGAGAGTCCAAACAGCTGATAAAAACATCACAATCCACAAGTAATCCACATGACTCCAGTCCATCAATTAAGGTCTTTTGAAATGAAAAGCCACGTATTTGAAAGAAACAAAGCCATTAGAAAGGAAAAAATGAAATCGCATCATATGACCCCTTTAACTTTAAACTGTCACTTCTGACCAAAATACAAGTCCATAATCCAAAATAATGCTTTCTCCAGTCCATCCCGTTGTCCTCAAAATCCAGTTTTTGCTTGTAAACTGTGCTTGATCTTTGCATATTTCTCTTCTGATTTAGGCGAGATGAATTTTTCACTGGAGAAAGCGGTATTATTGACTTTAACCAGACGCAACGGTTCAAGTTAAAAACATCTTTATGGATTTGTTTCTTACAAACTTACAGCCTTTAGCTTCACAAGATATTAACTGATGGACTGAAGTCTTGTGGACTCTTATTACTTGTGGATTATTGTGATGTTTTTATCAGCTGTTTGGACTCTCATTCTGACGGCACCCATTCACTGCAGAGGATCCATTGGTGAGCAAGTGATGTAATGCTAAATTTCTGTAAATCTGTTTTTCGATGAAGAAACAAACTCATCTACATCTCGGTGGCCTGAGGGGGAGTTAATTTGCTTTTATATTCCACGGGGAAAAACTCTCCCAAAACCCAGTATTTCACATGTGTCGCAGCATGAGTATCAGTTATGGTGAAGTGGAATGTTTCTTATGTCAAAAGACAAAACACTATGTAAGAAAGCATTCTATTAAGATTCTATTTTGATGGGCTGCCACAATCAAATGTTGAATGCTTTGAGAACAACAGGAGTTACAACAAGCTACAAACATGTTTGATTAAACTAATTTCACATTGGAGATTGATGAGAGCTGTAGAAATTCCCTGGAATGTGCTAGCGGATAACGTCCTCAATTTATTTGTTCACAAATGATTACCCTTCATCATCATGAAAGAGACCATAGGAACATCTAAGAGGGATGAAACGGCTGACCCTGTTGCTCTCACACTATTTTTACTAGACAAAACTATTGTAAATAGAAGCGTCAGAGACAGGGACATTAAAAGCCATCACGCCTAACAGGTAAACTCCTCTACACACAGCCTGATTTTGTTTATAAATCACACTTTTGTGAACTATTTTAACTTTTTTTTTTTTTTTTTTATATAAAGACTTGTCAAAGAGTTGTCAGAAGATTAGTGATGGTGACACTGAAATCATGCAACCGTGATGTAATGCTGGGCGATATACCGGTTCAAATGGTAAACCAGTTTTGTTTACGCAAACGGTATGCATTTTTTTTTTTTTTTAAAGTGCCTAAAGAACGTACATAGTGTGGTTAATTGAGGGAAGATCCCCGTTAACTGCATACACTTCTGACTAATGGTTGGAAAACTTTTAGAACTATTCATACCGCACAACTAATTCTTTAACAGTAAGCAACCATTAACAGAAGTCAGAGAAGTTAAAGAGGTATGCAAAGAGGAAAAAATACTGTAGCAGGCAACGCAAGCTCACTGTTCATGATGCGCGAAATATAGGAAGAAAATTCTAAATATTGACCTGGGGGTGAGGGGTTTATATAAATGTATCTCTGAGGGGAACTGACTGTCTTCAGAAAAATGTAATGGTGTTTTCTTTTCATCTTACCTCCATATAATACATATGTACTATTTAAAAGTGCAGCGCTGCTTTGTTTACAGCCGTACTCAAGGAAACGCTGTGTCACTGCTGTTCCATAAGCACCACCAGCTGTCAGTGAGTGAACTTGCGCTCTCATTCAGCCCATCTGCTGTTTTTGTTTCGTTCAGATGTTTTATGTAGCCAAATATCACAAAGCTTCTGTTTTTGCTATACATTTCGAAATAATAATCAAATTTACATCAAAAACTGCCCATGCTATATGTAGCATGTTTGTTTGGATAGTGATTGAAATGCAGTGGTTCTGCAAGCGTTTCATGCATTCTGATTAATATCAAGGCAGAGTCACGGAAAAACCATGATAAACCGTCAAACCGCCAGAATCCTAAAAAAAAAACAGTGATAAAAGATTTTTTGGTCAAACATCCCAACACTACTGTGATGTAGTTTGTTTATAGCCTATGATTAGCTTTTTACTTCTGCCGACTCTATTTAGGCTTCAAAATTCAGAAAAAGTTGTTCATTTGTGAAGATTATCTTGATGAACAAAACATGTAAGAATCTATAAACCATGTGTAAGAAAAAGGGGGAACACTTTACAATAAGGTGTCATTTGTTAACATTAGTTAATGTATTAACTAACACGAACGAACAATGAACAAGACATTTATTACACTATTTATTTATCTTTGTTAATGTTAGTTAATAAAAATTCAATTGTTCATTGTTTGTTCATGTTAGTTCACAGTGCATTTACTAATGTTAACAAACACAACTTGTGATTTTAATAATGCATTAGTAAATGCTGAAATTAACATTAAGATGAATGAATGCTGTAGAGTTATTGTTCATTCTTAGTTCATGTCAACTAAAGTAGCTAACTAATGAAACGTATTGTACCGAAAAATGTTGTAAAATATGTTGTTACAGTAACTATCTATCTATCTATCTATCTATCACCAAATGGTATAAACCAAGTGAAACCATTGTTTACTTAAATATTTCCTTCAGTTCTCTTTATCCTAAAGTCACAAACATTGAAAGCTGAAGCAAATGTTTCTTAAATGACCAATGGTATCACTTAATTTGGTGACAGCATTCTTGGCGTACTTCTGCCATCACTTACAATTTCGAACTCCTGTAATGGCTCACACATACTACGCAATGTTGATGGTGTTATCTTAACAGAGCATTTCCCCAAGCAGCCGTTTTCTTCTCCTAACACTCTGTCAGAGCCTGTGGTAAACACTGTCAGACACTGTGGAGTTACTGTCTCCTTCAGGACGGAGAGATGGGCTCTGAGTGTCACTTTGTTAGTTTTTCTATGACTGAATGAGTGATAGGCTCTTGTGGACGACTAAGTGCTAGGTTAATGCCACCGTCCTAACAGGCACCATGAGCAGATCCATCAATTTGTATCAGGTCACATACACTGCCAATTAGCTGATATATTTTAAATAATCCAACCACTCAAAAAAATAACAGTTTAACATTGTTTTTTTGCCCTAAAAATAACAGTATCAAAGCTACAGAGTTATCGTCCGGAAACAACTTATGAACTGCTTATGTTTACATACATCTCATTAGACAGAAAATCAACTATGGCAATGAATTTCACTGTAACTCTATATCCCTTTAATGTGTGTTTATGGAGCAGCTATCAGAAGAGGATTTAACTGCACAATTTACTGTGTGTCCGTCTGCCCTCTCTGTACCTCCCTGACATGGAATAAAGAAATTACTGATTGATTAGATTCATTAAGCATAGACTTTAAAGTCAAACATGGCCACCACGCCGCCTACTCGCCATCATCCGTCAGAATCTGGAGCATGCAGAAACGGCACTAGTTCATTTCTCACCTTACAAATCATTACTAGAGCTTAAACCATTAAGACAGGCTTACATGGAAGCCTTGTCAAGACACTGTTGTCCTGCTATGAGTTCTACAGCACTTTAACTGCACTACAGACTGTTACCAGGTTTGATGTAGATACATAATAAACATGCAATAAAGTTTAGATTAGCTTGAGCTAAATGAGCTTTACCCGCTGTCTATGTTATTAAGAGGCTTCAGGGTGTCCAGATCTACTTTATCAAGGTGCATCTGCTCCATGGTGCTGAGAATCTTCTTTTGATCCTCAGGATTAGTTATGCCAATCTAAGAGAAAGAGAGCTGATTTATTGTAAACCAACATTTTATGGAAGTCATATAATATCATATATGTAGTTTTTTAGATGTACATCTAAAAATATGTATATCTAAAAAGTATCCAATTCATTATATTTTTAGCCATTAACAAATGTTTGTTTTGCACAATTTTTTTTTAATATTCTCATCTATTAAAAAGGCATGATCTAAATGACCTTTTCCAGGTCCCCCTTCTCCATGATCAACAGGTCACTCCAAGTGACATCATTTTCCTGCCAATAAAAAAAAAAAAGACAGTTGACACGAGAGAAGGAATATTCAATAGAGACAATAGTTATTACCTCAGAAAATCAACATAGATAATCAACATTGCAATTTATTTACAACGAAAGTCTATGGGGCAATCACACAGTATTGCACATGAAAAAATGTTAAAAACAAACTTAATCTACAGGAATTGTGCCGGTAACACACAACCATAAGTTAATTAATCTAAAAAAACTACTCGCAACGGACAATTTAAACAATTTCAGAGATCAGCTAATAAACATTTTAATAAATAATTAATGTAAACATATTAACAAAAATATAAGCTTAACACTTCTGGAACACTGGCCCCATATATTTATATTGTAAGTGCATTACAATAAACATTTATTTAGCGTAACGGTAAAATAAATCGACTGGCTCACCACCATGATGTCTGAGAGATGATCCAGATTCAGACCATGCAGCAGAAGTTCAATATCACTCAGCTTGGAGGAACTGTAAGGTCAAACAAAAGAATGAACCCACATTTACAATACTGACATCTGAGCCCAGCTGCTTTTATGTTGATTTGTAAAATGATTAAATATAGTTTATAGTGAGGACCAGCATATGACTTATGATCTTCTGCTACCTATCTATATATGTGTATACTGTGTATATTTAATTACATATCTCGCTCAAAAGTTTGGGATTTTAATGATTTTTTAAAAGTAGTATCTTATACTGATCAAGGCTGCACTTATTTGATTAAAAATACAGTAAAGTTGTGAAATATTACAATTTAATACAATATATTTTCTTTTTCAATATATTTTAAAACGTAAATTATTCCTGTCATGGCAAAGCTGAATTTTCACCAGCCATTTAGTGTCATATGATCCTTCAGAAATCATTCTAAAATGCTGATTTGGTGCTCAAGAAACATTTCTTCAAATCACTGTCGAAAACATTGATTTTCTGATGAATAGAAAGTTCAAATGAGCAGCACTTATTTGAAAAATAAATCTTCTGTAACACTAAAATGTCTTTCAAAAAAGCATTTCGTTTCATTTTCATTCACCACTAGAGGGCGATACAAGCCAAGTCACAGACACAGAGGCTCACCTCTCTTTGCAGGCAGAGGAAGGATCAGGGTTTTGACTGAGAAATTTATACAGCGCCTCAGCTTTGGAGGGTGCACTGCCATTTACAGTAGAGAGATCTGTAGAATCAAGGATCCCGGACATCTGAAAAGAGCAATGATTTGAATATTTCTCATTCTCAAAACCAAAAGCAACATTTTTTTTTAACTGTAGTCTAAAGAAAACATTTCTATGATTTCTGACATTGGAGATCTACCTCAGGGTAATTGAACACTTTGGCCATGTCAGCTGCTGTCTTCCCCGTTTTGGTTTTGATGAACTTATCCGCTCCTAGTTGAAGCAGTTTCAACACAGCCGCTTCACGTCCATACTGCACTGCTATTATGAGGGCCTGCTCCATCAGAACAATATTAAAGTGTAATACAGGGGAGAATGCAATAATAACAGATAGTCAGCACAGATAGCCTTGTGGGCAGCACACTGACATACTGCGCTGTTGCGCTACAGGTGTCCCGAGTTTGAATCCCGACTCGAGGACCTTTCCCGATCCCAACCCCCTATCTCTCTCCCACTTCACTTCCTGACAGTTCTGATCTGCCCTATCGTAATAAAGGCAAAAATGCCCAAAATAAATCTTTTCTTTAAAAAAAAAATTATATTATATAATAGACACAAATGGACAATGAATATGATAAAATGCAGGTTAAAAACAACTCATATAGAGAAAGTTAATTATTTCTATAGCCTTTATTGATGATCTTACCGTAAGTCCATTATCATTCTGAAAGTTCAGCTCCGCTCCGTGTGAAACCAGCAAATTAATCACCTGACAATAGCCGTCTCTGGCTGCCAGCATCAAACACGTCATACTGCTCCTGAGCAAGGGCACAAAAAAGACACAACAGAACTGCCAGATGTTACTGTGATCATGCTGATGGCAATAAATCACACATATATGGGGTTTTGTTCTCTGCCACATTTATATTTAACATGATTAAATATAGTCCATGGCCTCCAGAATGGCCGGCACCTCCATGGCCTCCTGAACATTGTTAACATTTTCATAAGTAACTGTAGGCTAATTTAATTACACTTTTTTTTCTCAGTAACTGTAACAGATTGCACTTACATTTATTTTGTAATTAAATTACGTAATTCCGTTACATGTAATTAGTTACTCCCCAACACTGGTGTTGAATATACAGAATATATGGGGAGTACAAACAATGATCTATAGTTGCCACCCCTCATTCTGCTCTTTCCCCCTCTTTGCCACCCCAAGTATAAAATCCTGGACACGCCCCTGCCTGCTCCGCCATGGCTTCCTAGTCTGCCTGCTCCGCCATGGCTTCCTACCCCTTGTCCAAATACCCACACTTGCGGTCTTGGCCACTTGAGAGCACGTGCACGCGACAGGAAGTAAGTGCGCAAGACTGTCCCAGGTCTTAAAAATACCAAAGCGCAGTGCCCTTAACGCAAACTAAACCCACACCATCTCGAATACCACTCCGGAGCACTATTCGAGGGTTAGTGTATCCCATCATGCATCATGTTCTGGAAATAAATCGTGAGACTTTTTGCCAAGATCACGCGAGAGGTCACGGAAACCTTTCCAATGCAAGTTAAATATGAATAATAATAAGATATTACATATAATTTGGTAGTAAAACAAAGTGCTACACATTTTATTGCTGCAAAGATTTTATTTTTGTACAACATTTGCAACTGCTTTTTATAACTTAATTAAATTGTCATCTATAGGGACTACTGAACAGACATTTAGAAGTTGATTTTAAAATGCAAAGTATTGAAAATAATAATAAAACTCTGTAAACAATTTGCGTTTTTACAACACTATAAGTGTGTCCCATCAGGTAATGAAAAGTTGTACACACACTTGTGGTCTTCATGCTCACTTGAACACTTGGGCCAAATACAGGAAATACGTCATATAAGTAGTCAAGTGCAAAGACCACAAGGGTGGGTATTTGGACAAGGCACTAGTCTGCCTGCTCCGCCATGGCGCCCCGAACTGCCTGATTCTAGTCTGCCTGCTCCACCATGGCTTCCTAGTCTGCCTGCTCCGCCATGGCCTCCTGAACTGCCTGCTCCGCCATGGCCTCCTGAACTGCCTGCTCCGCCATGGCCTCCTGAACTGCCTGCTCCGCCATGGCCCCCTGAACTGCCCGATCCGCCATGGCCTCCCGAGTCCCCTGATCCGCCATGGCTCCTCGGACTGCCTGATCCACCCTGGAGGCCTTCCCCGTGTCCCTGTCGAAGTTCTTTGTCCGGTATTGTTCGTCCTTATGCTACACGTGTGTCTGCCTGCCCTGTATTTCTCCGAAGTTGAAGGGGCTTAATCATGTATCTTGGTTTATTACAAAAATAACTACAGTATATATTGTATTCAATAGCAATTTTAAATCATTTCGTATGATAAACAAAAACTGTACCTCTAGGCTAACACATCTTACAGTTACAGCTACTAAAACATAACATAGAAGTTCCTTCATAAACACAGGTTCATGGTCACGAAAACAAATTCCTCGTATGTGTAAACATACCTGGCAATAAAGCTCATTCTGATTCTGATTCTGATTCTGATGCCCCTGTTTGTAAATCACCCTTAAATGAAACTCCATTCAGAATAATCAAATCACCATAAAGAGTACTACTGCGCCAAAGTAAACAAAGACAAAAACATTTTACACCTTACTTAGGACAATCTATTACCTGTAAAAAAAAAAAAAAAAAAAACTTTCTAGTCATCTGCATTCAGTGCTTGTGTCACTGTCGTAAATATACAGTTTTATCTACAGATCACAGTGTCAAACATCACACCTTAAATCTATAGGAAAATCCTGAGGCTATCAATCAACCTGGCTGGCATTTCCCAGAGAATGTGACGGTGGTGAACTTAACTCAACAACATCAGGCACAGGTGAGCAAGGGCACCATCATTGTTCATCTTGACATTATCTCCTCGCTATCTACGCATTTCCCCTTCAGAGACTGTATTTGTGACAAATGTGTGCAGACTTAAACGCATTTTCCCAGGCTGTCAGTCCACGAAAACCACAGGAGGAATAAGAAAGCTTATTGAATCAATAAAACAAGATCATAATTGCTGTAAACAGGATTTATCCTATGGGTAAAACTATAACTTTCATGTATTTACATCAATGGGAGTAGTAAGAAGCTGCTATAAATGCAACACAATAACTAAACTGATGTTTGAAATCAGAATAATTTGGAATAACATATGCTTGTCAGCATGGCTGCTCAAAAGCCTCACTGGGCACATCATCAAATAAACTACATGAAAGAACGGAAGAGGCAGTTGCAGAAGACTTGCATGCTCAGCAAAACATGCTTTCTGTAAGGTCACTGGGCCCAGTGACGTCTGGATTGAGTTCTCACTACAATTAAAGCCTGAAACATTTTTATGTCAAAATGTCTGCAATTCATAACATCTCAATGCCTGCAATGTGGCTTCCTTCTGTGACACTCAAAAGACTATTTTTGTTGTTGTTGTTGTTTTGGACCCCAATGACTTTTATTGTATGGACAAAACCAACCCCACAGCCGAACCCCTTAAATGTAAAATATTTAAAGTACCTTTATAAGAAAGTTAAATATTTCAATAATTTTTTATATGACCTTTCTAGGTCTAGACATTAGACTTTTAAATAAGGCTACCGCATATATACAGATTTTTTTTTTCTTATTAAAGAAAAACAACTACAACAACTAAAGACAGTTGTCAGGGGTTGATTAAAAAAAAAGGAACTTGATTTTTAGTTGTTTTGGCTTATTTTCAACTAGGCTATCTTAAGTCATCTTGAGGCACTCTTGGAAGTTGCCGAGGTCCTCTAGCGGGCTCTGGCCCACTTGTTGAGAACCATTGCACTAAATTCCTGCAACTACATGAAAGAACGGAAGAGGCAGTTGCAGAAGACTTGCATGCTCAGCAAAACATGCTTTCTGTAAGGTCACTGGGCCCAGTGACGTCTGGATTGAGTTCTCACTACAATTAAAGCCTGAAACATTTTTATGTCAAAATGTCTGCAATTCATAACATCTCAATGCCTGCAATGTGGCTTCCTTCTGTGACACTCAAAAGACTATTTTTGTTGTTGTTGTTGTTTTGGACCCCAATGACTTTTATTGTATGGACAAAACCAACCCCACAGCCGAACCCCTTAAATGTAAAATATTTAAAGTACCTTTATAAGAAAGTTAAATATTTCAATAATTTAACAACACATTTGCATGTTTCCGCTTCCCTGATGTTGGTAAATAGTCACATGACATGCAAGTAAACAGATAAAATACTGTATATTCTTATTGTTTATATTTTATATATAGTCATATGCTGGTCCTCTTGTTGTTTATATTTTATTTGTATATAGGGCTGCACAACTTGGAAAAAATATATTGCTATTATTTTATTTATTACAAATATTATCACCATCATTATTTATTATTATTTATTTATTTTTGCTCCATAAAATGAGTCCACTGTTGTGTTGGACCCCAATGACTTTTATTGTATGGACAAAAACGGTTGAAACATTCTTCAAATATCTTTTTTGTGAGTTCTGCAGAATAAATATAGGTAAAAAAATATTATAAAATATATCAAATGTAAATTATTTAAAGTACCTCCAAAGAAAGCTTATATTGCTGTTATTTTATTTATTACAACTATTTTCATCATTTATAATTATTATTAGTTTGACCTCTAAAAAAAAATCAAGACAGAACTATATTACTGTTGATTAGAATTGTACAGTAAAATAAAAATGAATAAATGACGCAAAAATTTTACATTAGAAGTTACAATACAAATTTTTCACTTTCAAACACTCAAACTCTCAACTTTTAACATTTTCAATCCTTGAGCTTTTATTTTGGCAGAATACTAGTGAAATGTTGTAAAATACATGAATGCATGTAAATGAACACATGGCTGCGCTTCACTATGTGCAACAGACTGTGTAATTATTTAAATAGCAACCTTTGATTTGATAAATGCACTATGAAATATTGAGATTTCAGTTTTATTTTGATTAATTGTGCAGTCCCATTCATTTCTTATAATTATACAATTGATTAAATTATATAATCATAATGAGGCATTTCAACATTTATTATAGGCCTGTGATTTCACATGTGAAAGAGAATGGAAACCAAATGTAAAATTTTCGTCTCAGCAATTTTCAAATAATGAATCTCAACTAATCTGAAACAGACCATCTTCCCAAATGATGTCTGGCTTAGTCTAAGCATACTGTATTTGTTAACAAAAAGATTTAGGGAAATGCAGCTGCTGCAGTTTGTAGGTTATGAGTGGAGCACTGAGAGGGCAGAGGAAGAGGATGAAGGTTTGACAGGCCCATCGCTTGCCAGCATCTCCCTGTTCCTTGTTACCGATCTTTAAATATTTTGTCTGGATAGGACACAATCACTTTCTCACTAGCCAAGTGAACAACATGCTTGCTGACACTCCAGATCATGCGAGCAGTTTGGGTGGCAGATGATAAGCAGCTGGAGGCTGCCCTGAAAAATGCCTCAGTCAATACACTATTGAGTACACATCACCTCCCGAACAGAGCTGTTAGGAAGACTTGTTTGAAACACTGTCCGGCCAGTGTTAATGTTTTGTAGCTGCTGGGAGAATTTTTTCACATACTCTCAATCAACAGGGCTAGACAGTGCTTGTGACTATCCAGTGTTAGACCTGGATGCATGCGGATGAGATGAAGGATGAAGGTCTACAGTAAGGTCTTTTAAAAATGGATAACTCATTTTATACACTAGACACGTTTGCTGCGGTCCAAGTCTGGCTGTTCCCAGTGCCCCCTGTAGTGTTGGTCAGGTTTCACATTTACTTGATTCTATTGAACCCTGGTGAATTCGCATTCAACTTACATCACAAACTTGCACAACGCATGATAGAAAACAGAATGCGGGTGAATATGTTGTGTTTTTTTTTTATTAATCTGGTGCTGTTATGCACAGCAAAGTGAACAACATTTGCGTTTACTATATGTGTCGCATGGAGGCTTGCAAACGGACTCTTCCGGGGAGAAAGCTGATTGCGAACCATTCCTTTGCTGCTCTGATTGTACTTTGAACGATAACACTGCATGCATTCCTCACTCTCGCCCCTATGCAAAGTAAATCATCAAACTCTCCTCCCTTACAAGTGTTTTGTTGAACTAATGATACCATTATTGGATGAAACACATGTGTAGGTTACCTTGTTTGCTGAACAAGTGCACACCCAAGCCCATGCCTGAACTAAACTGTTCACTAAAGGCCCCTCATTGTCCACAACAATATTCAGCCCCATGACTTTTCCAGTCATTCATGATTTACAGGATATGGATAAGCCGAGGTCCTCTAGCGGGCTCTGGCCCACTTGTTGAGAACCATTGCACTAAATTCCTGCATATTTCTTTCAAGCACACTAACAGGAGATGCATAATCAATAATACACGTAGGCCAATAAAAGCTATTTTACATGGAGCAGATCCCATTATGAGGCCCAGCCGAATGCTTTTGATTTTCGGTAACCCCTGTTACTGGACATATTTACTCAAGGAATAAATAAGTTACAATGCCATCTGTAACTGAAAACTTTTGTATGATTGCGCTGCTACATAAAAAAAATAAAAGCCCAAACTGACTGCCGTATCAGGAAAAAAACATTGTGTGCAGTTAGGCCTGTCGCAATAATCAATATATCGACTTATCGCGCAATATATGTACATGACCTCAATAATTTTTGGTGACGCAATATATCGCCCATTATATTTACTTATAATGTCACCATGTTTTGTACATTCCACATGCGCCCGTGTCTTTTGCAGCTTCTCGTACATAACGTGTAGTCATGAGGTGCTAGTTCAAATTTAAAAAATGCTTCTACAAAAAGAGTTTCATCTGCAGATATGGCCTTGTTTAGGGATCTGTGTCTTTGTGCATACGGACATCTGACTGATAAGTAGTGATTGTGTTTTTCAGCAATAGTGTGCACCCTTAATTTACAGAGAAAAGAAGGACAGGAAAAAATCTGTAGATGGAAAAATCTCTTTGTGCATTTTTCTTTTTTTCTACTTGTTACTTTGCACTTTTTATAAGAAAAAGTTTATTTACTATTTACTCAAGTTTTTTAAGGTATCTAATATTTTTATACTTAATTTCCATGATCTAAATATTCTTAAAAATTAAAAGTGTGTTGTTATTTGGAAGTGTGTAGGCCTTCCTGCATTATTATGCTGTTATATTATGGTTATATATTCAGTGGCATAAAATGGTCTTTAAAATTACAATAATATCGCTTATCGCAATTATTTCTGGGACAATATATTGCACAACAAAAAGTTGTTATCGTGACAGGACTATGTGCAGTGCACCTTTAATTCCAGTAGATCAATGCATGAAACTGACAAGCACTGAGGCAAATGGCCTGAGAAATCACTGTAGTCAACAACAATATTTTTCAGAAATGCCAAAGAACAAACTATCTACTTAAATCAAGTCTGACATCACACGTCACCGTTTTCAGGTCCAAATGCTCAATCAGATGCCAAAAGCAAACAACAAATGGTGCTAATATACACTCCCCTTTATCCCAATACAGTGATTCATCTTTTATAAAATATTGGTGTCCAGGACGTCGTGAACCCCGAGACTGTAGTGTACACTGTGAGTTTTTGAAAGCTTAGATTAAATCTGTGTTATGAATAAACAGTGCTCATAAACGGCTGTTGAGTTAGTAATCTCAAATGAAACGAGTAGAGACTTGGACGCGAAAACTGTATTCCTTACGTCACGACTTAACAAGCAGATAGAAGCCAGATTCTATAAAGAAATAAAGACTGTAAGATTTAATTTCTTGCAAAGTGACTTTCTTACCTGTTGCAGACATTCGGGTCAGATTTGCGACTGAGCAGCAGAGCCACACACCTGGAGATCATCTCTTCTGTGGCAGACGCTGCTGTGCAAGCAGCCATCAGAACTGTATAGTGGTCTATGTAAGGAAGTTAGGGAAAAACAGACATACCACTTCATAATCAAATTATAATTCACAAAAAAGTTCTGCAGTGGTACTGCTCAAACCACAGGATACACATGCTTGTACATACTTCACGTGAGTCTCATATGGCCTAATGTTGTTGGACACTGCTAGTGCTTCAGGCACGTATCCGACCGGGAGCAGTCTCAGTGTTGTGTTGATGCAGAAAGGAGACACATCTATGTTAGGGGTTTGTGTGTTGTGATGATAGCTGCGTTTAGACTGCAGGAGCAGGTCTTGCTTGGGACTAGGATGCAGACACAGTTTAGTTGTGTCTGCGGTGGAGCAGGAAAATAAATAAAGCTCCAGTGTTGGGCCAATGCAATGACGCCAGCACCACGCTCTGTATACCGCCATTATCAATCACTTCTACATTCTTCCCCTTCTGTGCGGAACACAGACCAGGAAGTGGCAGCTGCATTCACATTTAATTATTTCCTGTCTAAACCCACAGCTTCAGTTGCTCGAGACCCCCTCTGGAACTCTTCTCAATGGACACAGTGGAAGTGTCTGCATCACTTCAAGTTGCTCATGTGCCGACATTTGACCGTGACCAACAGATGCATTCAATTTTGAAAAAAAAATTAAGAGAGCCAACGTGTAAACCAAAAACACACCAGCAGATTAATTACATGTTACAATAGCTCGGCATGTGCGTCACAAACATTTAAGTAATGGCAGATGAAGGACACTAAGGCAAACTCTAATTGGTTTCCATCCTCTCTAGCACGTGGGTTGAAATCAAAAGAATGTAACCTACTTCAATGTTGACCGTATTAATGAAAACCAAACTATTCCCCCTGAAGGATTAAGTCTAGCCATGCTTTTTTGATCTGATATCATTGGGCTGATGCAAAACCCCATCCTCTCCTATAAAAACCCAGAAGAGTCACAGGAAGGCCATGTAGTGCAACGTCAGATTGACAGCACCTGCTCTTACCTAGTCAAACTCGACCTTTAACTTCAAATTCTTAAGGGTGCACTGAATATTTTCTCTTTTATTCTGTAAGCAAAAGTGCCCAATAACAGAAAAATGGCCTGTCTCAAAAACCCACACTTGCGGTCTTGGCCATTTGCATGTGATAGGAAGTAGGTGTACAAGACTGTCCCAGGTCAGTGCTCAGTGCCCTTACCACATGCTAAATCCACACTATCCCTAATATCGCTTCATAGCGGTTTGAGCATTTGAGGCTAAGCGTATCCCATCATTCATCATGCTCAGGAGCTCATGTGTCCCAAAATCACAAGACTGAGAAATGCTTTTTCATTTAATTATACATTATATATAATTCGGTGGTAAAAAATAAACAGAAAATGTGTTGCACATTTTATTGGTGCAGAGATTAGTATGTGTATTTTGTAAAATGTCTGCAATTGCTTTTTATCATTTCACAATTAAAATTAAGGCTTCACAATTGAATTGTTTTGTCAGACATTTGGGAGTTTAAAATACAAAGCATTTAAATGTGTAAATAAAGCTCTGCAAAAACTTTACAACCCTTGAAAATATTGGAAAATTACGTCACGCAACTGTGGGTATTAGGACAAGCCTCTTATCTCATGTGAGAGCTATGTTTTTAAGGAGGATATAATTACTAAAAATACTCCTTTAAAGCCAAAAGTAAAGGTGACAATACATGCAGAAATATCTTAATACCCCATTTCTTCTTTCGATATGAAGCTCTGATACACAAATCAATAGAATTATGAGTATCTTTTGACACTTTTGTCTCCATTTACCTTTGCTGAAGTTTGCACTTGCACCATGATCCAGCAGCAGTTCAGCAAGCTCATAGTGGGCCACATGGACAGCGCACATGAGAGGAGTCCAGCCAAAGCCGAGCCGTGTCTCCACGTCCAGACCTGATAGATAACCATGAGAGACATTTTTTAAATATAAATGTATGACTTGTGTCGGCCAAATAAAAGCTATGAATACAAGCACTTACCACTGTCTAAGAGTTCGCGTACCAGGTCGACATTCCGTGCAGAAATGGCCCTTTTCAAGTTGGATACTTTATCTTCTCCATTCAGATGTGCTTCAGGAAACTGCCAGCAAGATGAAAAAAGGTTGCTGTTTAATCGTACAAATAATTTGTGTCCATAACTATCTTAAACTAAACGGCCGAATGCTAGCTAAAATATACCACATGGGGCGAGACGAGTGTTGGACGTGGGAAAGAACCTTTTCTTTTACGTTACCTCAGTTTTTTTGTTATTATCAGAATACCCAATATCCCACTCGTCGTTACTCCCATCGCTTTCATCGCCAGCAGGAAAGGCATAGCCAATCTCGTTTAACATGACTATGGTGGATTATTAGAATTATTCCTGTTCACCTGATTATTTCAATAGCAATTTCTCATTGATGTCCGACGTAATGACGTATACGGAAGTCACGCCCACGTGTGCATGTTAATGAAACGACCAATGGAGAAGCGTAACTCGCGTTCTTAAATCTTCCACAATGTCTATTGTTTTTTGTTTTTACCATGAATGTAATCTGTTGCTGCTTCTCATATATAAAGATATATAATTTCGAGAAAAATAAAGTTCTAGCTAAATGCAGTTTTAGTTAAATATTTACTGCATATTCTCCTCTAATCTAATTGGCTGATAAAAACATAATTAAAACCACACACACATATATATATATATATATATATATATATATATGGCCAGCTATGAGGTCACTATGGGGTAAATTTTTCATGTTTAAAAATAAAATGTGTTCTCTGAATGTTTAAAACTCCTCATATGACTGTCTGCATGTATAATTAAGGGTGCTTTCACACTTGGTTCGCTTGCCTGGTCCAAACCAGAGTTTGATTGCCCCCCCCTCCCCCTGCCCCCGCTGGACTGCGTTCATATTAGGTGCGTTCGACTTCATGCGGCGCCGCGCAAACCGATCGGCGGCTGACTTGAAGCAGTGCATGCCGGTTAGAAATTTTGTCCGACTTGAACCGGCGCCGACGCCACG